CGGCCCGCTGCCTTCCCCTCTCCGCCCTTGTCTTTGGTCGCGGACCTTCCTCCTCCCCGTCGCGCCCTCCGTGTCCACCCTTCCCCGATCCTCTCCCATCCTCCGTTCTCCGACTCCTCCCTGGGCGCAGCCGATCGGAGCCTCCGGGGCCCTCTCGGCTCAGGGCCGGGCTGCCCAACGCCCCCGGGCCCGGGGGAGAGGAAGGATGGTTCCCGAGGTGAGGCTCCTCTCCGCCTTGCTGGGATTGGCGCTGCTCTGGTTCCCCTTGGACTCGCACGCCCGTAAGTGGGGGGCTGAGGCTGGGCGGGCGGAGGGGTGCGGGTCCCCCCTCTGGGGTGCGCAAAGAGGCCTGGGGGGGTGGCCGGGACCTGGGCGCTCCCCCCTCCTCCCCCCCCCCCCAGCCGTGGCGACCGTCATCCGGGCAGCACCTGCCACCGTTCGGGTGGAGACGCCTTTGCCCACCAGTACGGACTGGTGAGTCTGGGTGGACCGGAGCTGTGGCCAGCGGAGGGGACAGCGCTGCCGGGGACGGTAGACCGAGGGCAGCGGTCGGTGGGCAGGGCACCCGCGTTTGGAGAAGGGGATTTATTCCTAGAGAGGAGTCGGGGCGTGTTCGGCTGCAGCAAAGGGGAGTGACAAGACAGACTGTTGCGTTCAGGAAGAACCTTTGAAAAGTCAGGAGAGTCAGGAGCCAGGCACCAATGGCTCACGCCCGGAATCCTGGCTGCTCAGGAGGCTGAGATCTGAGGACCGCGGTTCAAAGCCAGCCGGGGCAGGAAAGTACATGGGACTCTTAGCTCCAGTAAGCTAACTAAAAGCCAGATAAGGAGCTGTGGTTCAAGTGGTAGGGTGATCGTCTTGAGGGGATAAAAAACTCAGGAACAGAACTCCTAGTTCAAGCCCCAGGCACAAAAGTAAAGAAAGGGAAAGACTGAAAAGGAAGAGGAGAGAGGGAAGGAGAGAGAGACAAGGAAAGGAAGAGAGGGAGAGAAAGGGAGGAAGGGAGGGAGAGAGGGAGGGAGGAAGAGAGAGAGAGAGAGAGACTTGTTGGAATTTACAGAGCCATCCAAACCCAGAACTCTCTTACTCCAAAGCCTGCCCCACAGTGTCAGGAAAGGACTTTATTTTGGAGTTGTAAGACTGGAGGCAGCAGGACACAGCGAACTCCACCGCAGTCTCCACAATCCAGGCTCCACGGACTCCCAACTGGTGGGAGGCAGGCCTGGAAGGCATCTCTCTGAGCTTCAGAAAATCTAGAAAATGAGAGGTTGACAACAAAAATCATCTCCAGGTTTGTCATAATAATTCAATAATAGAAACCAGGTAAACAGCTAGCACAAGGATGGAAAGTGATAATTACACACACACACACACACACACACACACACACACACACACACACACAGTTGTTAAAGCTAGGCATGGTGGTACACACCTGTAACCACAGCATTTGGGGAGGCTGAGGCAACAGAATCGCAAGTTCCAGGCCAGCCTGGGCTACATAGCAAAATCCTCTCTGAAAAACAAATCTGTGTGCCTATTTCAAGTGCTTCCACTTCATACACAGCACAACCTCAAGCAGTTTATATAATTTCTCTGGGCTGACTTGTCACTGCCCCACACATAGGCTAGTTAGACCCCTTAGTGTCTCTTGACACTAATCGCTTAGAATACTGTGAGGATGCAAAGCCAAACGAAAGATTCTTTTAAGGAGAACGAAGGAGCTCAGTGCAGATGCTGAAGTACTTGAGAAAGAAACCAGGGCAAAGGAGAGGAAGTAGTTTATTCCAGGTCACAGGGGGCTGAACGTGGCATAAAGTTCCCATCGCCCAGCTCCTAGCCTAGTGCTCTTTTGTCTCCACAGCTCAGTGCTAACTCCATGCTTTTCTTTTGCATGTGACTTTCTGGAGCTGGTGGGATTGGCTTTTGTTTCAGAGAAACATCTCTGCTCATGAGGAAAAGGCTGACATATGTCTGACATCTTTGGCCTTCTAGCGGCATAGGACTCACGGCCAACCTTAGGAACAGGTCATAGAAAGAGCTCAGCACTGGGTTCAAGTCCTAACTCTGCTTCTTATAGCTGAGTGACTTCCTAAGTCACAAGTTCTCTGAGCCTCAATTTCTTCATCATGCCTAAAAGAGGTACTACCTGGAACCGGAAAGGTTCTAGAAAGATAATTAAGGCTGTGTTAAACCGCCCAGTACAGGACTGACTACTCTGTAAATACCACCTCCCCTTTGACAAACTCTGCAGTGGGCTTCCTTTCTAGTACTTGCCTGCTCTTGAAATAGAATTAGCGTCAAAGGACCTCCATGCTTTGCCTGCCTTTCCCTCTGCCTTTATCCTTTATGCCTCAAGACTTTGCTCCAGATATCACTGCCCTGGTGCATTGTGGAAAGATGTTCTAGAAGATAGCACTGTGTTGGATTTCTGGTGTCTTCCTCATACCCTTTACCTCTGTATCTTATCAGCTTTTCACAGCTTGACCTTCCTCATCTCTACCAGAAACCTGATGACCTGATCCCCTCCTGTGCCTTTCTGGCCTTTGAGTGTGCTCATCTGCCACCAGGCCCTGACATTATGCTATTTCCCCTACAGGCTTATAAAGATAGGGCTCCAGATTTGGCAAAAAGCTGAGGTGTGCTGGACTGGCATTGGGGAGAAGGAGGAAGACTTTAGCAAGTAAGAGCTAGAAGAGCTTTCTCACCTGTTTTTACCCATCAGATACCCTGTCCTTAGAGTTAAACCCAAGACTAAAAGGGAATGATTTGTCACAAGGTCACACAGTAATTTATAAAAGAAAAGAACAGAGATCTGCACTCTAGTCCCTGATTTGTCATTTATTGGCTATGTGAACTGGAACGAATCACTTCCTTTCTCTGAGCCTCATGTTGTCTAGGGCTGACAGTCTATGGGTCTTAGATGATCCTGCGGTCATTCTCTAGGATCCTGTCTGCAGTTCACTTTTGAAGGGCCTCATCTCAGTGTGCATGAGATCTCCCAGCCTACTATGGATAGAACATTTCCTGGTGCCATGCTAGGTGCTTTCAAAAGTGATGCTAAAAGATAGGAGTCCACACTCCCGGGTGGCCATATCCTGCAGGGTGCCAAAACTCCTGTAGGCAGAGGATTTAGTGTGTTCCCTAGCCAGCATCCAAGGCTGCTCAGCAAAGGTTATTCCTTCTTGGAATTTTATTTCTAGCCATAGATTTACACCTGATGCCAATCAGCCACAAACTGAATCCTAACGTTTCACCTCTGACCACTGACTAAACTTCAGCTTCCCCTACCCCCTCTCTGCAGGGCCCCTGGCCTGGTTACTGATTGCAACTGACTCTAACTCCAGGCTATGCCATATGTGATGTTGGTAACTCTGCTGGGACCTGGAAATGGTTCTTTCTCCTTTGTTGGCTCTCTTCCTCCCCCTCCTTTATACTCTTCTCTTAATAACTGTTCCTTGTAGATGGCCAGCATGCTTCTGCTTTCTCCTCCCTGCCCCATCCAGTGGTGCTTTTGAGAGAGTCAGTTACCCAGTAAAAACCTGCTCTTTCTTTAGGGCTTTGTACATGATGGCTCCCAGGTGATGAAACTGCAGAACCCAGGCCTTGACAGGAAGGAAGTTCCCCATAGTGTGATGTTGTTTAGAGGGCAAACTTGGAATCAGGTCCTGAATCCTTGATTATTTGCCTGACTCTACCCTGATTCCAGCTGTGACCCAGGGCAAATCACCTTTCTCTGCCTCTCAGTTTCCCCATCTGTAAGGTGAGACAGTTGGACTCAAATGGATGAGCAATGTCATGTTGTTGTTTTTTTTTGTTTGTTCCTAGGGCTTGAACTCAGGGCCTGGGCGCTGTTCCTGAGCTTCTTTTGCTCAAGACTAGAGCTCTACTACTTGAGCAACAGCTCTGCTTCTAGCTTTTTGGAAGTTTTAAAACATTATTATTGGAAATAAAAGTCACTTGAATTTTCCTGCCTGGGCTGGCTTTGAGCCACAATCCTCAGATCTCCTGGTAGTTAAGATTACAGGCATGAGCTACCGGCACCTGGCTGAGCAATATAATTTCTTAAGAGCCTGTCATTCTAAGTGTCTAAGATCCAAAAGTGTGGTTGCTTTGTTCCTAAGTCACTAAGACCTTTGGAAAGGAAGAAAGAGTTGAAGAGATGTATATATTCCTGTCCTTTTAGGGAGGATCAGACCCTTAGACACTAGGAAAAAAAAGTGCTTAGAGGGCCTGGGGCAACGGGTATAGTGGGAGACTCACTCTGCTTTTCAGCTTCAGTCACATCCTATCAACTTATCCGGATACGCGTGGAGAAGGGGCACCCAAGCAGCGGCCTGAGACTGGCTCCAGGCAGGATTCCCTCCCCGTTTCTGGCCAGGCGGCACTGCACTTCCCTTCTCCCACCAGTAGAGGTCTCTGCCTCACTCACTGGCCGCTAGGCTGCTGCGCCTTCAGACAACAGCTGCGAAGTTGCTCCAGCTGTTGCACCTGTTCCAGCACTGGCCTCTCAAGTTCCCCCAGCCGCCGGCTGTGGCGCCGGTTCTGAGAGAGGACCTTGAATCCCTTGAACTCCTGAAGAGAAGGACTGGTGTTGAGAGTGGCGTCCCTGGGAGGTGCAGTGCTGGAGAACATTGAGTATTCTGCCTCCCTTCTTGTATTTAGGAGTTCTTTATTACGTTTCCCCTCACTCCTTTTGTTTGCAAGTCAAAGCCATTTTCCTTCTGACCCTGTCCCTTAGAGTGTGGGCAGCCCAACAGGCATCCTCTCCAGGTGTGCAGACTGGCTTTGGGAGTTTCTGCCTGAACAGATCAGTGATCAGGCAAGTCCTATCTCTCTCTCTCTCTCTCTCTCTGGAGCTCAGAGTAGATAACAGAGCTCCCCTTCAAGGCCCTCCAAGGCCTGTCTGTGCTGCTGGATTGCTCGCCTGTGCTAAAGGAAGAGAATCAAGTTCAGAGAGACCCATTCATTTTCCTGAGTTGCACAGCTCAGCCATTGAGGCCCTGACATTTTTCTTCTGATGCCTTTCAGAGATCTCCCCCATGGGTGTCAGAGCCCAGAGCAGAGCTTATGTCTCAGAGGGGAGCAGGTTTGTTTGTGTGAAGAGAGGACTATAAATAAATAGGGAAAGTATGGCTGTGGGGGTGGGAGGGAAGAGATGAAAAAGTCCTCACATTCTCCAGCAGCCTGGATCACTCAGGTTTCCCGAGTTCTTGCAGGCTGGAGACAGGCCAGCCTGTCCCTTCTGGTTCATTTTCATAACTTTCTCCAGCCTCCCCTCCAACCCAGAAGCTTCTTGCTGATGGACTTTTTTTGCCTCCTATTGAAAAAATTCCCAGCCACACTACCCATCCCTATCTGATTCCCAATGAAACCGTTATCGACATAAGAGTTTTAGGTCAGACTGTGGGCTGTACTTGGATTAAGATTACTTTGGAAATTTTGACTTACATGTGTAGATCATGATTATCCTCTTAGCTACCCCGGGCTCCTGAGCTTTGTGTACATAGTGTTCTTTGGTGTGATGGATGGTTAAGAAATCAGTAGCCAGGAGCTGGACAGAGAGGTCAAAGTCTAATTGCCATGAGGTGGCAAGGTAAAGGTGCTGAAAGAGACTTGGCTCTCTTTCAGTAATGAAGTTCTCTCTTCGTCAGAGACCTTTCCACAATCAAGTGCTGTCAATCAAATCTCCCATAGCCACGAGGTCTTGGTTACCCCTATTCTCCTTCCTTCACTCATTCAGCAAGACCAGCTTGATGGAGGATTTGTCCAGAACCCAAAGTGCAGTAAGATCTGGTCCTTCCTCTTAGGCAGCTTACAGTTCAAATAAGGAAGACAAACCCATTACCATGGCCTTCCAACTCACAATGAAGAGAGTTGTAACAGGACAGAACTCAATCCTTTGAAAGAGAGACAAGGGCCCTACAAGGTGGACATGGATATACATACATACATATCATATATATGATATATATGGATATATATATACGATATGTATGTATATGACATTTATATATAACATATACATATGTGTGTGTCAAATGTTCCTCCCACAAAAAGCCTGTCTTTACCCTTTGGGCTGATAAAGCCCTTCTTAAGTCTCAACCAATCTCTTCAGCTTAAAACTTTTTTTTTGTACTGGGGCTTGAACTCAGGTCCTCCAAGTCTTAGCTTTTTTTTTTGCTGGTTGCTTGAAGTTGGAGTCTCACAAACTTTTCTGCTAGTGCTAGCTTTGAACCTTAATTCTCTGATCTCAGCCTCTTAAGCAGTGAAGATTAGAGGGGTAAACCACCAGCACGTGATGAGCCTGAACTCTTTGTTCTCATTCTTCCTTCCTACTTTCTGCTTCAACCTTCAGAGTCATTTTCATCTCCCATCCCAGCTGACCTTTGTGAGGACACAAGTGGGCAGTACTCAGGGGATGGAGCTGGCTTGCGAATGGAGCTAGGGAAGACTACAAAGTCCTTCCGGGAAGCTGGGAGCTTTGACCTCTGTGTCCACTGTGGAATTCATGCTCTAAGAATTCTTTTTTTTTTTTTTTTTGGTGTCCGGTCATGGGGCCTGAACTCCTGTCCCTCAGCTCTTCAGCTCAAGGCTAGCGCTCTACCACTTGAGCCACAGCGCCACTTCCGGCTTTTTTCTTTTTGCTTATGTGGTTCTGAGGAATCGAACCCAGGGCCTCAGGCTTGCAAGGCAAGTGCTCTACCACTGAGCCACCTTCCCAGCCCCTCATGCTCTAAGAATTCTATGGGGCTGCCCCCTACAACTTTTGAACTAAAAAAAAAAAATAGAAGCCAACTGTTAAGAAAGTTAGGAGCTGGCACCTAGATCTGGCTTTTGTTTGTCTATTCTCATCTATTATTTAAATGATCATCAGGCACTAGGCATATTACATATATTATCTGATTTAATTCTATAATAATCATGAGAGGTAGAGGTGATCACTAGTCCCATGTCACAAATGGGGAAACAGGCCCAGAATGGTTAAGTAGTTTGTTTAAAGTCAGGCTATGAAAGAAGAGTAAATCCATGATTGAAATCCTGCCCTGTATAACTCAAGGTACTTAAGAGAAGATGCGCTTGGCCTCTAAGTTAAGGAGAAAGCCCTGGGCACAGGTAGGTGCGAAGAGGAATGGTGGCAGGTGAGAGAGGAAGTAGAAGAGGACCAAGGTAGGAGAAAGAGGAAGTGGGGGGGACACAAGGAAATTGAGGAGATAGGAGAGAGACAAATTTGTCCTCCTTTATTATGGCACTCAGGATTGGCCTCAGTGGCTTAAAAAACCTGAGAAGTTGCTGTGAATGGAGCCATCAACCTCTCCAGGAATCATAGAATCTTGAAATGAGCCATTTTGGAATCACAACGTAGTACAATTCTACAGACTTCAAGTTCTAATGAACTAACTGTAGCCTCTTAGAAACATGGATTTCTCACATTCTTTCCCTCCCCCCAGTGTTAGGCACTGAACCCAGGGCCTTGCTCATGCTTGGCAAGTACTCTACTGTTTGAGCTACACCAACAGCCTTTTGTTTGTATTTTCAGAGATAGAGTGTTAGGACATTTATTCGGGTTGGCCTGGTACTCACAACTCCAGAGTTACTGGGATTATAGGTCTGAGCTACCATGCCATGCCTGGTGGAATTCTCAAATCTTGATTCTTTAGAAACCTAGAACTTGGGAGTCTCCCAATCTGAAATCCTAAACTCCTGAACGATGCAGGCAACCTTTGAAGAGCATGGTTTATCTCTACCCTCTTGTTTTGCAAGTGGGAAACTGAGGCTCAGAGAAGGAAAGAGACTTTTCCTGAACCCTACCACAGTTCATTTGCAGCTCAAGGAAGGAGAGCTCCTTCCACCAGCCGTGGCTGGCACCAGGGCAGCCAGTGCCCAGCCCAGCAGGCTCTCTTTGCCGTGGTGTGGCCTTGAGCATTCACCTCCCTAGAGGAAGAGGGAGCTCCAGGCATTACCACCCTACTGGTGCCTCTCACCTTCGAGGGTGTGGTGTGGTGGGGACCATGGCCACAGGCCAGGCCCCCCACAGTCTCAGCTTCTGCCAGGTCTGTTGGGGGTAGGGGTAGGAACCTCCTGGACCAAGCACTGACTGAGCCTCTCCCTGTCTTCAAGCTCTGAGCAGGCGGGAGGTAAGGGGCTGCCAACTGGCACAGGGGCCAAGGCTGAAGAGCCACCCCAAGGAAGGTAGGGCAGGGTTGTTGGTTTTTTTTTTTTTTCTACAACAGGCTGAGACCTAAGGTGACCACAGTGTTGCAATCACCCCTCCCCTGGGTAGGGAGGGGACTGAGGAAGAAAGACATTATTCACTCCTTGGAGAGTCAGTCTGGCTCTGACCTGCATCCCAGCTGGGCCTGGCTTCCACCCGATGCCAATGGAGGCTGAGAGATAAACACAGTGCATTTGATACAGGCCAGCCAGGGGCCTTGTTGGCTCTTTGGGACTGGGATCTGATGTCTGGTCACTACCTCCCCTAGAGGAGCTGGGAGGGAGACCAAGAGAGACCTAAGCTATGTGTGATCATGGTCCTCAGAAGCATGGATCATTGAGGCATTGTGATGATGGCCTCAAATGTTTTTCCTGGAAGGCCTGAGTGAGCAGAGAAGGCACAGTGTGAGGAGCTTTTCAACTTTCTAAGGGTTAGGAATGGCTCGGGAGCTCCTGTTCCCTGGTGGTATGTGCTGGGGGCCTTGGGAGTGAATTAGTTATGAGAGATGAAAGAGAGATGGAAGGTTCCAGAAGGCAGGAGAGCAGGAGGGATGTCATACTAGTATTTCAGTCATTTTTAGAAGAGTTCCTCTACCTGGTAACAAGTGAAATGCAGATTACTGAAAGGTCAATAAATGAGCCAACCACTGCTCAGAGTAGCTGCAACGAACATTTTAAAGGATGTGTAAACATCACTTTCTTAGTTATTTATCCACCATGGCTAGCTGAGATGCAGGGACATTGTGTGCTATGAAGGTAGGAAAATGCTATGAATTGCTTTGTTGCAAATGGAGATCACAAGCTAGGGGCCAGTGGCACACACCTGTAATTCCAGCTACCCAAGAGGCTCAGGTGAGAGAATCAGAAATTTGCAACAGCCGAGGCAAAAGCACTGGTGAGACCCTGGATTAAAATAAAACAAAACTGAAAGGAGCCAGGTACCAGTGACTCATGCCTATAATCCAAGCTACTCAGGAGGCTGAGATCTGAAGATTGTGATTTGAAGCCATCTCAGGCAGAAAAGTCTGTGAGACTTATTTTCAATTAACCTTCCCCCCTCGTCCCCCCCATAAAAAAGCCAGAAGTGGAACTTTGGCTCAAATGGTAGAGAATCAGCTGTGAGTAAAAAAGCTAAGGAACAGCATCCAAGCTCTTCATTCAAGCCCCAGTACTGGAGGGAATTTTTTTTTTAATAAAAACTGAAAGGGTTCAAGATGTAGCCTTGAGCAGGGTTCCATCTCAAATACTGAAAATAAAAAAATAGAAAAAAATAGGTAGGTCACAAGATCCAAAGATGGGGGGGGGAGAGAAAGAAAGAGAGAGAATATGAATTGGGGAGGAAAAGAAAATGGGATGAAGGAAAAGGAAACAAGCACTTCTCAGGGCTGTCACCTCTGCTTGGTGGTTGACTTGCTGCCTGGCCTTAGGCATGCAATTTCTTCTCCTGTGCCTCCTATTATCCTTCTAGTTGTACTAACATTTAGAGCCCCAAGTTGAACCTGGAAGGCCTTTTCACTGCTCCATCTCTAACTTCCCTGGAGGAGAAATGTCTAGGCTTAGAGAGCAGCAGCTACAGCTGCCACATCTGGGTGTGGTCAAGCTGAGATTCAGACACAGGCCCCCTGACGTGGAGCACACGTTCAGTGGGTTGTCTTTTGCCTCAAGCGAAGACCACCTGAAGGATGGTCCAGATGACTCCCAGAGAAGTGGGGAGGGGAATCTCCTGGATTAACAGCCCTTGTTGCTTTGCCAGGCCCAGACATGTTCTGCCTTTTCCATGGGAAGAGATACTCCCCTGGTGACAGCTGGCACCCCTACCTGGAGCCCCACGGCCTGATGTACTGCCTACGCTGCACCTGCTCTGAGGTAGGTTCCTCTGGTCCCCAGGCGGCCGGTACTGGAGGTCAGGGGCACCCTAGAACTAGGTCTCTGAACCGGGCTGTTAGAGGCAGTTGAGGGCCTTGGGCAAGCCATCTCACTAGGCAGGACTAGATGGCCTCCCTAAGCCTCCAGTGGTGAATCCCACAGTGGTTCTGTGGTGGGGCTGGTAAAGGCCTGGGTCTCCATCTCTCATCCCCGCCTCCTCTGCGGCTTGCGCTACTGTCTATCCATCTGCTTCCCTCCCTCAGCCAGACAGAGCCTTTGCAATCTTCCTTCCTGTTCCTCCTTCCTTTCTAGGTACCATTGCCTCAGCTCACCTTCCTGGCCCTGCCTTAAGACTCTTTACCTCAATTTGACTAGCTCTAAAATTTGTTCTTGGAGATTTTGTTCAAAAAGGAAGAAAATAACATTAACCCTTCATAAGTTTCTCTGTCCCATTCTCCTGGTCGCTGTGGAAATCTGTCTGTATCTGTCACCCCTGGCCCTAAGAACAGATCACATCCATGACCAGTGTGATGTCCTGGTAAAGGCTAGCCAGCAGGGCAGAGGCTGAGTCTTCGTTTTCACATTGTCTGTTCCCACTTCACCCCAACTGTGAACTTTCCATCATGCTGACAAATCGCCTGAGGCAGAAGGATCGTAAAGAGAAAAGTTTGACTTTGGTTCACAGCAGCTTCAAAGGTTCCAGTACACGATTGATTGGCCCGATGTCTTTAGACCTGCGGCAAGGCAGGGCAACATGATATGTGTGGCAGAGCAAAACTGCTCACCTTGTGGCCAGGGAGTGAGGAAAGGAGTTAGGGACAGAGAGGGAGAGAGAAGGAGAGAAAGAGAGTAGAGCAGGAAGGAGGGAGGGAGCAGGAGGGGCAGTGAAGGGGGAGAGGAGAAGAGATCAAGATAAAAAGGAAGGAGGGAAGAGAGAGAGAGAAGGAAAGAAAGAAAGAGAAAGAAGGAAAGAAAGAAAGAAAGAGAAAGAAAGAAAAGAAAGAATTCAGAGTCCCACAAAACCATTCAAGTGTACATTTTCTAAAGGTGTACAACACCTCCCTAGGGACTAAGCCTTTACCACATAGGCCTTTAGGAGACATTCAGTATCCAAACTACAGCATCAACCCAGTGCCTCTACAGAGCCTTTCACATCAGCTAGGTGGACTAAGGGAGATCCCATGTGGTCCATAAGTCTCTGTCAAGGTATGAGGATGGAAGGGAAGGAGAGGGGGAAGGGACTTAGGGGAGTTGGAAAACCCTTGGCTTTAGCTCAGCTGGTGGGGACCAGTCAGGGTGTCCCTACTTATTTTTATTTGGATGTGGTGGCGGGAGAAGCTCCCAGCAGATGCCCCTGAGCCCCCCCCCCCCTCTTTCCCTCACAGACAGCGAAATCTCCTAGTAAAGACAGGCCCCTCTGGGGTTGGGGCAGAGAAGAGCTGCTGGGGATATGGGGGACAGGGAGGGGGCACAACTTTTCTCTGGGTTTCAACTCTGGGGACTCACTTTTCTCTAGGATTTTTTTCCTCCCTCTGACTCCCAACTGATTTCATGGTGATGGCCTCAGATAGAAGTCTAATGCACACAGTACTGGTGGCTCACACTGTAATCCTAGCCACTCAGGTGGCTGAGATCTGAGGGTGGCAGTTCAAAGCCAGCCCAGGCAAGGAAAGTCCGTGAGACTCTTTTTTTTTTTTTTGTCAGTCATGGGGCCTGAACTCTGGGCCTGGGTGCTGCCCCTCAGCTCCTCAGTTCAAGGCTAGCACTCTACTACTTGAGCCACAATGCCACTTCTGGCTTTTTCTGCTTATGTGCTGCTGAGGAATTGAACCCAGGGCCTCATGCATGCAAGGCAAGCACTCTACCACTGAGCCACCTTCCCAGCCCCTGTGGGACTCTCATCTCCAATTAACCACCAGAAAACCAGAAGTGGCACTGTGGCTCAAGTGGTAGAGTGCTAGCCTTGAGCTGAAGCGCTCAGGGACAGGGCACAGGCTCTGAGTTCAAGCTCTAGTACTGGCACACACACACACACAGATGCCAATAGGACACAACTTGGCCTCCCTTTGATTTTCCTTAGTCTGTCTGAGGCCAACCAGCTTTCTCAAAAAGAACTTTTATGAATATAGCCAGAGAACAGAAAGGAAACCATAACAGAAAATTCCAGACGTATCATGTAGTCCAATTGACAAAGTCCAAGCTTTGTGATCCATTGGCACCAACTCATTTCTCTTTCCCCAGAGTCCACTCTGTTTCCTCAATCTGTAGAACTGTTGCCCATATTTCCAAAGTCCACCCTGCTCCCTGTCCTTCCCACCACATTTCTCATTCATTTCTTCATTTAGCCACCTCCATGTCTCACCTGGGTGGTTACACAAACCTACTAATGGGTTCCACCTGAGACTCCATTGCCCACCAAGAAGGTAGAACGATCTTTTCTGAACATACTAGTGATAATGTCAATATAAATGTTACCTCCTCAGGAAGGCTTCACATATAGCTGTTTCTAAAACAGTAGCTGATCCCGGACCAGGCATATTGGTACACACCCGTAATCTCAGGAGACAGAGGTAGGAGAATCATTATCTGGGGTCTGCTGGGGCAAAAGCATGAGATGCTATTTGAAAAAGACTAAAAGCAAAAAGATAGAGACAAGGTTGAAATGATAGAACACTTGCCTAGCAAGCATAAGTTCCATCCCTAGTGTGCGTGAAACAGCTCTGTTAATCTAATCACATTACCTTGTTTTATTATTGCTATAAATTTAACATCCAATATTGGTTTGTTTCACTTTGTCCATTCCCATGATATGTATGTGTGTGTGTGTGCGCACGCACACACACACATGCATACATGTACATATACACATGCATGCCAGTCCTGGAATTTGAACTTGGGCCTAGGTGCTGTTCCCTGAGCATTTTTTGCCCAAGGTTAGTGCTCTACCACTCGAACCACAGATCTACTTCTGGCTTTTTTGGTGGCTAATTGGAGATAAGAGTCTCGTGGACTTTCCTGCCTGGGCTGGCTTTGAATCATGATCCCCAGATCTCAGCCTCCTGAATAGCTAGGATTACAGGCATGAGCCACTGACTCCTGGCTTGATTACTTTTTTATAGTCTTTCTCTAACCTCTAGTTTCATAGAGGTTAGAGAGCATAGAAAGCTTGCCATACTCACTCCTGTGTTCCTAGTGCTTAGAAGAGGGCCTGGCACCCAGTAGACTCAAGGCACATATTGAGTGAGGGAAAGAGCGAATACTCTGTCCACACAAAGACTGCTCGGCATCCAGAACAGTGCACAGATCCTGGCCACAGTATTTACCTATGATCATAGGCAGTTAACACCTGGACATAATACTGATCATGCCAATGTAAATGTTACCTCCTTAGGAGTCCTTTTCTTACAACTTTTTCTAAAACAGTTAAGGCCAGGCCAGGCATGTGATTGCACACCTATAATCCTAGCTACTCAGAGGCAGAGGTGAAATCGGTGTGAGTTAACCTTATGGCTTTTTCCTTTCAAAAGTGGGAATGGGCTAGGCACTGATGGCTCATGCCTGTAATTCTTGCTACTCAGGTTATGATCTGAAGATCACAGTTTAAAACCAACCTGGACAGGAAAATCCATGAGACTTTTATCTCCAGGTAATCACCTGGAAGAAGTGCTGTAGCTCCAGTGGTAGAGTCCTACCCTTGAGCAAAAGAGTTCTAGGACAGTGCCCAGGCCCTGAATTCAAGCCCCATGACTGACAAAAAAAAAATTAGTATGAATTGGGGGGGGAGGTATTGGAGGCATAGCTCAGATGGTAGAAAGCCAACCAGTGAGCCAAAACAAACATCAGATACTGAAACCAAGTCCTGGTCGCAGACAAAAAAAGTATGAATGGGCTGGGCATTGGTAGCTCACACCTGAATCTGAGCTATTCAGGAGGCTGAGTTCCAGAGGATAGAAATCCCAGGCAAAATGGGCACCCGGGGCTCATGCCTGTAACCCTAGCTACTCAGAAAGCTTGGGATCTGAGTTGAGCAGCTTGAAAACAACTGAACAGGAAAGTCTATGAGACTCTTATCTCCAGTTAACCACCAAAAAGCTGGAAGTGGCACTGTGGCTCAAGTGATAGAATGCTAGCCTTGAGCAAAAAAAGCTAAGAGATGGTGCCAGGCCCTGACTTCAAGTCCCAAGACTCACTCTCTCTCTCTCACATACACACACACACAACACACGCATGCATGCATGCACACATGAAGTGAATGGCTGTTCCTTCCTCTTGTGCTCTTGTTAAAATGAATCCCTCTGTGCACATATACTATGAAGCTCCTGCCTCTTGGCTTCTCCACAAGGGATGCTATGCCTTTCCTGAGAGGTTCTCTTGAGCCACAATGGGCCCTACCAGGTGCCTTGCCTGTACCCTTCTACCCCTAGCCTGTCTCCGCCTAATTCCTGCTGACCACCCCTAACCCATGGCTCCTACATGGCCAGAGTAAAGGGGAAAATTCTAACGTTTCAGGTTACACACTTCTTCCCATTCCAGTTTGGTTTCTCATCTGAGGATCTCAGTTTACCATCTCAATATTGAGCAGCCATGTGTTCCAGGCCTTTAGAAGGCTTCATTGGAACACAAACAATTCTGTAGACTTGGCCATACCTCTTGGCATTCACTAGGCCTTGCAATTACCTCTGGCCATCTTGGGCTGCAGTGACCCCAGTGGGCTCAGGCAGTCAGACCTTGTGCCTCTATAGAAAGGCTCTCTAGAACTTGCGCTGTGGGAAGGGCAGGAGGAAGGAGCCAGGGGATAAGAGGTAGAAGTCAACTTTGCCACCTGCAGAGTCTTGAACAAAGCTGGTTTAGTTCATGTAACAGAGCCTCTCTGCCTCCTATTCTGGCTCTCATTGCTCACTTTTTCATTCATTCACTTATTCACTCATTCATTATTTTAGATAGCGGTCATTTTCTTGGAGCCAGGCCATAGGGTGACAATTCCTTTGGAGCTCATGATTGAATGGCAAGGCAGGTGTGAATGACTGGTCACCTGGTAATTCATTGATCCTGTGACTGGGAAGAACAAGGCATTGGCATGCTGAAGAAGGTCTAAAAGCTGCCTGGTAAAGCTGGGAACACTTTGAAAATGGGCAATGGCCCCTCATATTATTCTGCTCATTTCTCTTTGGGGATCTTTCTCCAACTTACTATACTTGAAGAAGCAAACTTTGGAGCCCCTTGTTTTCTGGTGCCAATTCTAAAGGCTCTATCCAGAGTTGGTGATTTAGGGAGACTCAAGTAGTCACCCTCCTCCTCCTCCTCCTCCTCCTCCTCCTCCTCCTTCTTCCTTTTGGTCGGTCATGGGGCTTGAACTCTGGGCCTGGGTGCTGTCACTGAGTTCTTCAGCTCAAGGTGAGCACTCTACCACTTGAACCACAGTACCACTTCCAGTTTTCTGGTAGTTAATTGAAGATAAGAGTCTCACAGACTTTCCTTCCCCAGTTGGCTTTGAACTGGGATCCTCAAATCTCAGCCTCCTGAGTCGCTAGGATTACAGGTGTGAGCCACTGGTGACTGCTGACTCAAGTCTTCTCTGCATCTAGCTTTTAGTCTTGTTCTCATCCTGACCTGCCCTCATATGGTCTATTCCTCCCTTGGGCCGGTACTGGGGTTTGAATTCTGGGTCTCATGCTCTTCGTTTAGCTTTTTCATACAAGGTTGATGCTCCACCACTTGAGCCATTACCTCCAGTTCTGGTTTTGCTGGTTAGCTGGAGATAAAAGTTTCTCAGGTTTATCCATGTGAGTTGGCTTTGACCCCCAATCCTCAGATTTCAGCCTTCTGAGTAGCTAGAATTACATGTGTGAGCCATAGGTGCTTGGTCAAGTTGTCCTGAAGGATACAAACCACAAACAGGCCTGCCTGCCCACAGGTGGGAGGGGGGTTCAGATGGGATGAGTGGGCCAAGTGAGCAGGGGGAAGGGCTGGGCTCTCAGTTTGCTTTTAATCCCCTTATTGGCTTAGGACTAGGTAGAGTTCTGCAGCTGGGGTGAAGGTTTGGGAAGAAGATCCATGCAGGCAGAACCACAGCTGACTCTTGTGTCCTCTTCAGAATGCCCATGTGAGCTGTTACCGCCTGCACTGCCCACCTGTCCACTGTCCGCATCCTGTGACCGAGCCCCGGCAGTGTTGTCCTCGATGTGTGGGTAAGTAGCCTCGCTCCTCCTCTTACTCTGACCTCTCCCTTGCTTACTGACCAGCATCTCACTCCTGATGCAAGCCCCTGACCAAGCGAAGCCCCTAGGAGGAGAGGGGAAATCTCTGCCCAGCAGAGGTGTTGAGACACTGAGATTCTCCCAGGATGCATCTTGGATCCCCACACGGGGCTGATATCATAACTAATTTCTGTTTCTTAAGTCTGTGTGCCTGTCAGAAAGAGGAAGAAAAAGTAGAAACTAGTTAATGGAGGTAAGGACTTCACCATAGGAAGTGAAGATGTGTTGTCTTGGGCTAACAGACCCTTTATTAGTTCATTTGCTGATGCTATAACACAATATAAAGACAAGAGGGTTATTTAGCTCAGTTTTAGTGGCTGACAGTCCAAGATCTGGTTGCCTCATTAGTTCAGCTTCTGGTAGGATCCATCTTGATGGAGTCATGGGGAGGGAGCTGGCTGCACGTAGAAAGAGGCGAGTGATGAAGTTGCTTTATTAGCAACTTATTCCTGCCAACTAACTAGAATTCCATGAGAACTACATTGTCCCAAATAGCTAGCCAACTTACTAGGACCTACTTCTTAGGTCATACCAGCACCTAAGACCTCCATACTGGGGACCAGACTTTCAGCACACAGACCTCTGGGGACATAAACAATATCTAAAGCATAATAGTTCTGTAGAGGAGACTTCATGATTACCACCTTGGGGCCGGGAGTAACCAAAGGGGTTAGTGTATGAACTCAGAGAGTCTTCCCTGGACTGAGATTTGGAGGCTCTGTGGGGCCTAGTATGAAATGTTTATGAGTCCGTGATTCAAGACTCCAAGAGCCTGGGAGCCTGCAATTCTCTGAAGTAGAGGTGAAGGAGGAGAATTGACCTGAGAAGAATCTGGCATGACTGAGTAGCCCGTGCGAGAGAGCCAGGAGGAAGGGGAGAGCCTGAGAGGAGAATAAAGGTTCAGAAGCATCATGAAGGTGATCAGGGACGTGGAGTGTGGCTTACTCCTGGAATCTTAGGCACACAGGTGAAATTGGGAGGATCCCTGCTTTAGGACACCCTAGGCACAAATAGTAGTGAGACCCCCATCTCAATTAATAGCTGGGTCCAGTAGCTCATGCCTTTTATTCCAGCTATAGTGTAAAGCGTAAATAGGAGGATCAAAGACCAGGCTAGCCCTGGGATTAAAAAAAAAAAGTAAGACCCTATTTTTAAAATAATTGTTAGGGGTGGGGAGGGAAAGAGGGAGAAAAATGAGAGAGGGGGTAACAAGTTCAACAAGAAATGTATTCACTGCTTTACTTATGTAACTGTAACCCCTCTGTACATCTCCTTGACAATAAAATTTTTAAAAGAATACATAAACTATTAAAAACCATAAAACACATTTAAAAATAAAAATAATTGTCCTAAATTGGCCTGTAATCCTAGCTACTAAGGAGGCTGAGATCTGAGGATTGAAGTTCAAAGCCAGCCTAGGCAGGAAAGTCTGTGAGATTCTTTTCTCTACTTAACCACCAGAAAACCAGAAGTAGAGCTGTGGCCCAAAGTGGTTGAATGCTAGCCTTGGGCAAAAAAAGCTCAGTGACAGCACCCAAGCCCAGAGTTCTAGCCTCAGACCACCACCACCACAATGATGATGATGATGATAATAACAACAGTAATTGTCTTGGTCCTCACTACACTGCAGAGTCAATGCTGTGCCTTGTCTCTACCCAGTCAGATTGTGAGCTTCTTCATGGCAGGGGCAGAGTCATTTACATGGGGCCTGGTCTATGGGGAGGAGCCTAGTATAGGAATGAGCAGTGTTGTCTCAGGACAACTACCCAGAAGGATGAGGGCTGACAGCATGTAACTCCCAAGGGTGAGGTCCCTGTTCTTCCCCAGCTGTATGGCTTAGCATCTAGAATAGTGCCTGGAATCCTGAGATGCTCCACAATGCTTCTGGGCCTCAAACACTAAGGGGCTCTGGGGCTGTGGTGGAGGGAGATACCCAGTGACACATAGGTATCAGCAGGATCTCTTAGATACCTGATATGGAGAATAGCTGGGAAGACAAAGCCAGGGCCTAAGTAATTTGTTTATTTTGATGATATTGGAGTTTGAACACAGGGAATTACACTTGCCAGGCAATCACTATCCCCTGAGCCACATGCCTCTGTATGTTTGGATTTAGTTATTATTTTTAAAATAGGTTCTCAGGCTTTTGCCCAGGGCCTATCTTGGTCTGTAATTTCCCACCTCTGCATCCTGCATAGCTGGACTTATAAAGGGGTACCACACCTGGCCCAGAAATTAGTTTAAATGCCAAGAAGAGATTTCAAAAATGCAGGATCTTAATGAAGAAAGGAAGAGTTGGCCAAGGCGGTCACACTCTTCAACGTACATATGTGAAAATGACACCAAGCAAATTGAGGAGATGGGTGGGGTTGGGAGAGATGGGGGAGAATAATAAAAGGGGTGACATTGACGGAGATGTGTTGTACTCACAAACTCACATGTTGAATTGAAACGCCTTTTGTACAACATTAAAAAAAATCTTCAGAAAAAAAAATGGCCTAATTCTATTGGGGATCTTTGAGCCACATGAAACGTCATTTTCTTCTTCTCCCTACTCTTGGTCTCCTACAGAACCCCACACACCTTCTGGGCTCCGGGCTCCCCCCAAGTCCTGCCAGCACAATGGGACCATGCACCAACATGGAGAGATCTTCAGTGCCCAGGAACTGTTCCCCACACGCCTGCCCAACCAGTGTACCCTGTGCCGCTGTACTGTAAGACCTCCTACGTCCCCCGTAGCCCAAGCCAGTGTCCACCCCACAAAGAGCACAGCTGTGTGGGCAGGAGTGGGGGAGCTGAGACCAGAATGAGGGAGCTTAGGGGGAAGGGAATGTCTGGGGCCCTGGATGCCCTACTTCTAAGGTAACCTTTCTTTCTGTACCCTTCCAAGCTGCTGCTGCTGCTCCTGCTGCTTTGATGCTCCTCCTCCATCTCCTTCCTCCTTCTTCCTCCTTCCTCTTCTTCCTTCTCCTCCCCCTCCTTTTCCTCTCTTTCTTCTTCCTTCTCCTCCTCCTCTTTTTCCTCTTGCTTCTCCTTTCCTTATGGCATCAGGCCTTGGGCTTTGCCTGGGCTCTTGAGCTTTTTTTTTTTTTTTTTGCTCAAGACTAGCACTCAACTCCTTGAGCCACAGCAGCACTTCCAGCTTTTTTTTTTTGGTGGTTAATTGGAGAGGTGAGTCTCACAGACTTTGCCTAGGCTGGCTTTGACCCATGATCCTCAGATCTCAGCCTCCTGAGTAGCTAAGGTGACAGGTGTGACTCACCAGCATCTGGCCTCCCAAGCTGCTTACTAAGCCCTGGTCACCTGGTACTGACAGTAGCCCATTTCTGGTTTCCCCAGGGGACACTGCACTCCTTGAGAGGAGAAGCATTTTGTATCTGTACCTTCCACTGCTCCCAGGCCAGAACCTGACACACAGGGGATGCCTGTAGTAACTTCAGAGTGAGTGATCAGTCACAATCAATCATCAGTCCTGTAGTAACTTCAGAGTGAGTGATCAGTCACAATCAATCATCAGTCCTAGGCCACAGAGACAGGATTTAATTGGAATTTTCCTTGTCAGTAGTCAGAGCTGGGCCTGGAGACAGACAGCAAGATGAACTCTGCCATGTGGTCAGAGACGGAAGCCACTGAGCGGTGACTGACCTGGAATGTCTTCACCCTTTCTCCTGTCGGGTTCTAGGTGTGGATGCTTCCAAGCTGGCGAGAGGCTCCTGGCATATTATGTTTACCTTGGGGCTTAACAACCAGTCACTGAATGGTGGGAGAAGCCTCTGTTCTCCAAGCTCCTGACCGGCTGAGCCTTCTCTGACATAAGTTCCTCTGAGCCCATGAGAAGTAGGATGAGGTGATCACTGACATCCTCTGTAGATGGGGTGTCAGAGACCCCGGCTGGGGCTCCAGCTCTGTCCTGGTTCCCTGTGTGACCTTGGCAAGTGACCTTCATTGATAACTTCCCATCTATCTGATGAATATGAAAGCATCTGTGTTTCAGTCCACAACTTATCAACAAAGGGGACTGGATCCTTAGTGAATTTACCGAGCTGTGCTTCTTGCCACAGGCTAAAATATTCTACCACCAGGCTCATAGAAATACATTATGTTTATATATAGATGTATGTGTGTGTGTGTTTGTGTGTGTGTACACACACGCATACACACACACATATTATCTTAATGGCCCTAGAAGGCTATTTATTACTACTCCTCTTTCAGATGAGCATCCCTGAGTTTAGAGCCGTTACATGGCTTTCCTAAGGTCACAGAGCTTATAGATGGCAGAGCCGAAAGCCCATGTTTTTCTCCCAGGAAGGGAGAAGCCTGAGTTGAGGGGATTGTGGGAAGAGGCAGACATGGTAGACTTGGGCTGGTGAAAACATTCTAGTAATTCCTTGAACCCATTCTCCCTGGAGATATGAGTTTCCCTTCTTCCTTTTTATCCCTAGCTATAGGACTGGCCTGCCTTCTGGCATCAGTGGAGGCCACGTCTCTGAGTCATGGAAGGAACAGCGAAGGGACTCCAGGTCACTTGCTCTAGGAACTCAAGGCCTTGCAGTTATTTTTCACAGCTCTGCCCTCTACTGATCTTCGAAGCCCACATGGACATGCCCCTGGGGAGAAATGCAAGCCCTTATCTCCCAGAAAGCCCTGTGCCCTGCAGTGCTGCCATTCTTGAATAGGCCCTGAAGTTGGAGGTGAAGGGCTTCCAATAAGATCAAGATAAGCCAGACATCACCCACCCCCACCCCCACCCCCCATCCCCTGTCCATGCTTGGGCCCTGCTCCAGGTCAGCAGAGAAGGATGGTGATTTCGATAGGAAAAGCCAGAAGAGCAGGCTCTGATCTATTTTGTCCCATTGTGTCTCTGAGCGGACGGCAGGGCCTCCCTCATCTGTGGGTTGGGATAAAAACCCCCCTTCCCTCCTCCCTACACAGTCTGCTATGAAAACCTGGGGAAGACTGGTTTTGAAGTGATCTTCAGGGCCTGGGGTAGGAGGGTACTGGGGACCTCTCTGAGATCACCAGGCAGTTTGCTCCCAGCTCTGGAGTCTGGTCGGTGGTCCTCAGGCCTCATTTCCAGCCCTGTTTTGCTGTTTCTCAGGAGGGCCAGATCTACTGCGGCCTCACCACCTGTCCGGAGCCTGGCTGTCCCGCACCCTTCCCCCTGCCCGACTCCTGCTGCCAGGCTTGTACAGGTGAGTACACCCCCAGCGCAGTTCTTAGGCTTAGCCTGCACCCCTTAGAGAGGCTTCTGTGACCATTATTATTGCTGTCCTAGGAAGCAGGCGGGAAGAGAGGGCACATCTTCCTGGATCCAGGATTGGGCTCAGGACCTGCCCAGCAAGCAGGATTCAAGGAGAGTCTCTGGATAAAAGAAAGGCCAGAACACAGAATTAGGGAAAAGCAGGCTGAACTTGAAAGAGAGGAAGAGGGTGTATGGGAGAGAGGTGGGGAGTTGGTCAGACTGTCTCTCTGTGGGCTGAGGCATCTAAGAAGAGCTTCCTGGAGGAAGAAGCACTCAAACAGGAATTTGGATGTGTTCCCACTTGTTGGCATTTTGGAAGGCCCACTGGACCCAGAGTCAGTTGACTCCAGTTTAGTCCAGGTTCTTGCAGCTAGTGCCACAAATCGCTTGCCTTCTCTGAGGTCAGAGGAATATGGAGGCGCTGCCCTAGCGATGTCAAGGCAGCAACCCAATTCAATGTCCTGGGTCTTTGAAACAGGAACTTTCCATGGGAGCCAGATAGAACAGTGAGGCAGGGGTGCAGGAGAACCCTGCACCAGAGCATTAGGAAACCTCAGGGCTCCAATAGTCTGCGAGTTCACTCCCCAGGGGAATGGGGGTGGGGTGGAGATCCAAGAGGCCTAGGCTGTTTACCCCAAGAGACACACACTGGGCCCAGAGATTATGCATAGTGAAAACCAAGGCCTAGTTACTTCAAGTAGAGCTGAGTAGAGTGGTTGCCTGGGGGACTGTAGGAATGGGGTTCTGGCCACTCATGATGGCCACTGAGGGATGCCCAGGGTCCTAGAAGAGGTGACTTAGACAAGGAGACCAAACAAGATGCTCAGTCCAGCCAATTAAGTCAGCTCTAATAATGACCAGCAGCAGGGGACTCTGTTAATCTGTGGAGGCGAGGATGTAATGAGAGGTGGTCCATTCCCCCCCCCTCCCTACCTCCCCCCCTCCCGACCCCCGCTGCTGTGGCAGTGCTCAGCATTAGAAGGGGCAGAGACTGGATTACAGGCAGAGGCTTCAGGGCCATCGCCATAGCCCAAGGCTGACCCAGCTTGTTTTTGAATTTTCAGATGGAGCAAGTGAGAAATCTGCTGAAGACCACACCATGTCATCGCTTCCGGGGGTGGTAAGTACCCTGCTGTCCAGCCAGGATGGGGACACACTGCTATCCCCAGGGCCAAAATCTGCCTGACTCAGGAACAAGCAGAAGGACTGGTTATTGTCCTCATTTTTAAAAAATTTTTTATTTTTTTGTAATGCCAGTCTTGGGACTTGAACTCAGGGCATGGGTGCTGTCCCTGAGCTTTTATGCTGAGGGCTAGCACTCTACCGCTTAAGCCACAGCACCACTTCAGCTTTTTAGGTGATTAATTGGAGATAAGAATCTCATGGAAGCCGGGCGCTGGTGGCTCACGCCTGTAATCCTAGCTACTCAGGAGGCTGAGATCTGAGGATCGCAGTTCAAAGCCAGCCCGGGCAGGAGAGACCGTGACACTCCTATCTCCAATAAACCACCAGAAAACCGGAAGTGGCGCTGTAGCTCAAGTGGTAGAACGCTCGCCTTGAGCTGAAGAGCTGAGGGACAGCGCCCAGGCCCAGAGTTCAAGCCCCACGACCGACCAAAAAAAAAAAAAAAAAGGAATCTCATGGACTTTCCTTCCTGGGCTGACTTTGAACCATGATCCTCAGAGCTCAGGCTTCTGAGTAGCTAGGACTACAGGCATGAGCCCCGAGTGCCTGGCTTGTCCTCATTTCTGGCTTGCCTCCTGGGTCAGCTACCCTGCTGGCCACACTTTTATTCCCTCTCTCTAGCCTGCCATTGGCTCTCCTCAAGTTGCAAGGCTCAACCCTCAGGTTCCCTTTTCAGAATCTCTGATCCTCTTCTAGCCTCCTGGCAAAATGGCCTCTGGCCTGGGCTAGTCTTCCTCAACCAGTTCCTGGAGTGCTGATTCCTATTCTGGGATTGGGCCTCTCTGTTCTCCTCCATATTTTGTCTCCTGTCAATCATGTCTAAAGTTCAGATGATTTAAACGTACAAGCTCTCTGGAGTCTGAGGGGAAAGAGATGGAAGAATGGGCCTGACTTGGTTTCTCTTTTGGTCCTCTGTGTCTTGTCTTCATGTAAAAAACTCCTTCCCTTTTCAGTCTGAGTCCCCTGAGCCTGGAATACTGAATGAAGCCTGGGCTCCCCTTGTCAGAAATCCCCAAGAGTGTGAGCTCATGACCTTTCCCCTCTATCCTAGTCTGAGTTCAGGTAGGGCCTATGCCATGGGGCAGAGTTACTCCATCCTCTCATGCCCCATCCTATCCCTAAAAGACTGTGTGGGTACTGAATCACTAGGCATGGTACTTGGTCTGAGTTGTTGGGTAACTTGAGCAGGTCATCACTTGGGGGTTAAGTTCTTGGAGTTCTTTGTTACTATTCTTTCTTTCTTTCTTCCTTCCTTCCTTCCTAACTTCCTAACTTCCTTTCTTGCTTGCTCTCTCTCCCTCCCTCCATTCCTACCTTCCTTTCTTCCTGCCTTCTTTCCTTCCTTCCCTCTTTCCCCCCACCCCTCTCTCTTTTGGTGTTGGTCCTAGGGATTTAACTCTGGGATTGGGTAATGTCCCTAAGCTTTTTTTACTCAAGACTGACACTCTACACTTGAAGCACAGCTCCACTTCCAGGTTTTTTGAACAGTCAATTGGAGATAAGAATCTTCTGGACTTTTCTTCCTGGTCTGGCTTCAAACCACAATCTACAGATCTCAGCTTCCTGAATAGCTAAGATTATGGGCATGAGCCGCCTGCACCTAGCTTCTCTTTTTTAATTTTTTAATTGTTATTATGAAGGTGATGTACAGAATATTACAGTTAAATCAGTGAAGTAAAGAGTACATTTCTTTTTCTTTTTTTTTTTGCCAGTCATGGGGCCTGAGCTCTGGGCCTGGGCACTGTCCCTCAGCTCTTCAGCTCAAGGCTAGCACTCTACCACTTGAGCCACAGCACCATTTCTGGCTTTTTCTGCTTATGTGGTGCTGAGGAGTCGAACCCAGGGCCTCATGCATGCAAGGCAAGCACTCTACCACTGAGCCACCTTCCCAGCCCAAGAGTACATTGCTGTCTCCCAGTTTTTCAGTCCCATCCCCACTCACAAATTGTACAGTTCATTTTCAATGTAGTATCTAGTGAATACCACTACTGCATTTGTTCACCCTTTGTCCCTCACAAAGACAGATAAACAAGCAGACAAGACAAAAAGAACACAAAAATGACAAAGGGAAAGAACCTCTTGTTTGCATTTCTTGGGGTTCGTTTGGTTTTTCAGAGACACATACATTGGCTTCTGAATCTTTCGAAACATCAAGATCTTCACATTCCTGACCAGTTGTGTGTCTCAGATCAATATCTCAGCACTCCCACATCTCAACACCTCAGCCCAGCCCCAGAGCCCGGCTCTGGCAAAACCTGAGGGCTTGCTGGTGGCTGAGTTTTCAAACCACTGTTCTTTGTGAGTTTGCAAATATGTATTGCCTGAGAATACCTTAGACTCCATGCAGATCATTCTATCCCAAGCTTAGGCCCTCTCCTCGCAAGAGTCTGCTGGGGTCCACACTCAGGCTTCTCGCTGTGGCTTTGCTTCTGGCTCCACCACCAGCGATGGCCTGTCACACTGTCAGTGATCCACACTTTTCCTGCCATTTGCAGAGACATTCCCAGCATCCATGTTCTGGCGATGGTGGGAGGAGAGGCCTGGGCACGCCGGCCCCTACTGGCTTCAGCTCCCCTCTGAGCTTCATCCCTCGTCACTTCCGACCAAAGGCAGCAGGCAGCACGACTGTCAAGATTGTCCTGAAGGAGAAACATAAGAAAGGTGGGATCTGGGCCCTCGTCAACCTTTTGATGGGAAAGAAGGACCCCAAGTGCTCCCCACCTGCACCCTCTACTCTGGGTCCCCAATCTCAACTTGATCATGAGTTTGTGAACTCATAGACTATCAAAACTGAGAGTGTGTTTGAGTGGTCATGAGGTCCAGCACCTACTTGACAGCTGAGGACACTGAGGTGCAGAGCATTGAGTCAGACACAGAACCAGTCCTGGGACAGTACGACAAGATTAGTTTTTGTTGTTTTGTATAAGACAGGGGCTTTCTGTGTAGCTCAGGCTGGCCTTAAACTCATGATCCTCCTGCTTTAGCCTCCGAGCTAACAATATATTTTGTTATATCTTTATTACAGAATAGTTTAGATAGAACAGTAGGACTCACAGGCACGGTGGTACATGCCTGTAATCCCATCACTCGGGAAGTGGAGGTAGGAATATTTTGAGTTTCAGGCCTGTCTGGGCTTCATAATGAGACTGTATCTCAAAACAAGCAAGCAAACAAACAAGAACAGAGAGATGAAGTTTAGCCTCTGTCCTTAATGGGCTGACAGATTAATTGAGGGGGACAGACACGTGAGCCAGTTGAATTTCATTTAATAGGAGGTGGCACTGAGGGAGATTTTGGCAAAGGCAAGAGGGAGCAGAACTGGACTACAAGCGGGCAATGGGGCTAGCATGGGGGGAGTGGTAGTGTCAGAAAGGGGAAGAGACACCCCCTGCAGGGCTCTCTGACTGGTGAAGAGAGAGAAGCCAGAACAGACACTGAGCTAAAGACCGGGAAAGGACCTGCCAGAAATCCCACGAGCAGGTGGTGATAGAAGGTGATCTCAGTTCTGCCGTCAGTCAGAACTCCCCTTTTGAGGCTAGGAGAGCAAGTCTCTATCAGGCATCTCTGAGATGGATTCTGAGATGGGGGTGTCAGGGACAAAGGTCAGGTATTCTGTCACGGTCTGCACTTTGCAGGCAAGGTGGCTGGGCTAGATTGTGTGTGTGGAGAAGGAACGCAGGGAGGCTTTCCCTGAGGCGCCTACCACACTCATTGCTAGGTCAGGGTCTCTGGCCAGTTCCTGAGGCCCTGAGTCTCCTCCCTTCCTGCCCTCCTTCCTCCAGCCTGTGTGCATGGGGGGAAGACATACTCTCACGGTGAGGTGTGGCACCCGGTCTTCCGCTCCTTCGGCCCCCTGCCCTGCATCCTGTGCACTTGTCAGGATGGTCACCAGGACTGCCAGCGTGTGACCTGTCCCACCGAGTACCCCTGCAACAACCCCAAGAAACTAGCGGGGAAATGTTGCAAGATTTGCCCAGGTAAAAGGAAGTGGGGAGGGGGATGATTGGGAAGGCAGAGAGGGCACAGGCCAGTGTGAGCTGTACCTCTGGCTCCAGACCTAGAGTGTGTGCACCTAGAGCTACACGCCACAGCATTTGCAGATGCAGTTAGCAGCACAGAAATGCACATGTCAGGCCTGAATGAACCCATTTAATGTTACAGTAAAGACTTAGAAATGATGGACATAAATCAAATAATGCTCTGGGCTCTGTTGTAAAATTGTAGACTACCAGAATTGTCGGGAGGAATAGTCAATGTGGATTTAATACTTCATCAGCTTCGTGTCTCCCTCAGAGAATAAGGTTGACCCTGGCCACAGGGAGGTCAGTTCCACCAAGTGTCCCAAGATGCCTGAACAAGTCCTCATCCACATGTCAGACTCCCCAAGCCCAGACAACCTGCACCGCTTCGCCCTTGAGCATGAGGCTTCTGATCAGGTGGAGATCTACCTCTGGAAGCTGGTAAAAGGTGAGTGGCCTGATGGAAACTTGGTGGTCCTCTGGCCTGTCCCCTTTCCTGTCCTCAGACCCATCAGATGCCCTGGCTGCCCTTTGGGTACAAGAGTCCCAGATTCCAAGATGTAGGGAGATTGTGATTGTGACCATTGTGATAAACTCACTCGCTCTGAGATGCCAAGGCCTCCAAGTGCTCCCTCTCCTGGAGGGATGGGGTTACTGCATCCTGCAAGGAGCCAACTCATGCAATCCATAGATTGCAGGCAAGAGGCCCTGTTAGCATTAGGCCTTGAGACTAATTTCACTCAGCCTTTTCCGTTACTCTGTGGTAAGCTGACATCAGAATGTATTTCTCATTCTGTGAGAACTCATGCATTTACCAAGGCTGCTCCTACCACCAAGTTGGGGGTCAAGAGAAGTTTTCATCAATAATGGGATTGTTGAGAGTTGCACCTCTTCCTATAAAACGTGAATTCCTGGGTAGAGTGGAACATTAAGCCCTCATCCAAATGATCAAAAGTTCTAAGTGTGTCTCCACTGGTGGGTTTGGCTGGGGGTGGAGGTGGAAGAGGACGAGGGAAATAACAGCCAATGTGTGCAGCACTTTCTGAGTGTACAAAGTGCTTCCACATTCACTGTCTCCTTTGATCCTCAACGATTCTGAGAGTTAGGTATTATTATCCCCATTTTACAGATGAGGAAACTGAGGCTCAGAGAGGTGAAGTACCTGGCCCAAGGCCACACAGCCAGTAAGTGAAGGACGGGTGCTAGAGCCCATGTCTTGTGGCGTCAGATGCGGCTCTCTCCCTGCTCTACTCTGCCCCCCTGTCGTAGGAGGAATGGAAGAAGAAAGTGGAGCTGTTCAGCCTGGAGAAGAGAAGACTCAGGGGGCCAGGACTGCTGGCTTCATGGTTCTGAGGGGCTGCCCAGGCAAAGGGAGCAGCTGTGTTCTGAGTGACCACAAGGTCAAGTCATAGAACAGGAGCTTTGGAATCAGGCAGACCCTGGGTCTGAACCCCAACTCTGCCACCTTGAATCCTGGCTCTGTTCTTTCTTAGCTGTGTGATCTTGGGCAATTCACTTGACCTCTCTGGGCCTCAGTTTCTCTTCTGTTCATTGGGAAAAAGGGATTTTGGGTGCTTACATAAAATGTCGTAGGGATGGCCCCTAACCTAACACTAACGCTAACCCTACCCCAACTCTCTTCCATCCTACAGTAGCCACTATAAATGGCATTATCTTCTTCCTACTAGGTAGGTTGGTTTAAAAATGGGAGAGGCAGATTTCTACCCAAGGAGGAAGACTTTGATTACACCCAGCCTTGCACAGGGGAAGGGAGGGAAAACAAGGCTACTCGTGGCAAATGTGCAAGCCAGGGCTGCACGGGGATTGTTAGAGCCAGGAGTTAGTCAGCAGCTCTTACCATTGCTTGAGTCTTAAGATTCTGCAGCCCCTGGCTGTATATTAACTCCAGCTTCCTACAATCCCTGGTGCTGGGAAGGCAGAAAGAGAAATGCTCAGATTCTGTGTTCAGGAATACAGGCTTAAAGGCTGGTACAATAGGAGCTTCAAGTGAGCCGAGGCTACCCAGGGAAAGCTTCATGCAGGATAGATCTCCTGAGGGAGACAGAGGGAAGTCAGAGGGATTCAGAGACATGAGGCGATGACACTTTGCAGACAGGATGGCAGGGAAGCCTCGGATTCATGCTCAAGAGCCTACACTTACCTGCCTTGGGCTCTGGGGATAGATCTGGAGCAGGCCCCATGTGTAATGGGACTGCATTTATTTCTCATGAGAAACCTACTGGGTCTGTGCTAATGCCCCCACTGTAAGCCTAAGAGCCGAGTGTGGGAAGTCAGGTGACTCGCTGACAGTCACAGAACAGTAACACAGATTCAAAGGCAGGTCTGGCTGTTCCCAGTGCCACCTGGTGGCACCTGCTTTGAGGGAGGGACCTGAAGAAGACCAGGAAGTGCCAGGATGGCACAGGAGGCGGGGGGGTTGGAGAGGCTGCCAGGAAGAACAAATTGCTAGCACATTGCCAATCGCAACCTCACTAGGCCAAACTGGTAAAAGAAAATGGGGTCGGGGCAGAAGAGGGGGGGCAGCTTGTCATCTTCGCGTGCCAGGCCTACTGTCTTGTGTCAGATGGCCCCCACCCTGTCTGCAGAGCCCCTGGACTACCCTTCATTCCTTCCCTGGCCCTCCCAGCACACATTGTCAGAACCACTCACTGTTTCCTTCCTCCATGTGGGCAGTGGGTACTGAAGCTGTGTGAGGAGAGATGGGACCAGTGCAGCCAGCAGAACCACAGCGGAGTGGTTCAAGGTTAAGGGCCTGAGATTCTGGAAAGGTATCAAGAAGGAGGCAGGGAGTCCTCAATTCTTAGGCCCTGCCAGGGCTTCAGCTCTCTGCTCTTCAGTCTCTGCTCCTGTCTGCACTGCCTCACGCTCAGCCAGAGAGGTGCCAAACCTGTTCTGTTCCTTGGAACTCACCCTGAGTGCCAGCACTACCCTGGGGAACCCACAGGGCCCAGCTGCCGTCAGACTTGGCACAGCCCTCAAAGGGCAAGTGGCACCATCACACTAGCTTTTCACTCCCAGCCAAAGAGCCCAGCCCTTTTATGACGCCTGCCATCATGACCACAGTGTAGGGACCCCCACCCATCCCTGTCACCTCCTCTCCCATTTTCCTGTGTCACGGGGAGTGTGCAGAAGGGCCTGTTCCTGCCTCATCTCACACTAACACCAGGCCTGTGGAGCTACCTGCTAGCCTGTGGCACTGAGGCTGAGGCCTGAAGGATCAAACTGGTATTTCTTAATGACTGCAGTGCAAACCTGGGATCTTTGCTTTCTGTCTCCCTTGATGGGGTCCCGCTCTGACTCCATACGCAGGTCTGCTTCTGGGCTTTCTTGAAGGCTGTGCTGGCCTGGCTGAGGCCTCTCTGGCTACATCTGTTGTTTCTGGACCGAGGCCTTGGTGGGTAACAGCTGGTGCAGCCTCCCAGCTCATGAGCTCAGGGCCTCGGTGCCTGCCATGCATGGCACCAGGGGCTGGCTGCCCTTGAGATGCAAACATCGGGGGATCCAGCGAATACCTCATTCTTTCTCAGGGCAGACTGGGTACAAATGTATTTGTCAATTCGTCTATCCACACATTCATCCATCTGTCTACTCACCCACTCATCCATCCATCGACCATCCAGGGCACCTGCGGCAGAAGCAACATCAGAAAAGAGGCTAAAGGAGATGGGTTCTATAGTGGAGGTGACAGGAAGTCAGGGAAAGGGAATGGCAGGGTCCATGTTTCCACCATCCATTCACAATCCATCTACCTATGTATCCATCTGTTCATTCACTCTCTATCTGTCTGTCCACCCATTCACCCATTCTCCACTCAACCATCCTTCCAGGGCTTCATTTACTCTACATGACTAACTTGAGCTAAACTCGGGACCCAAGAGGAGAGAGGAAGCAGGCATAGATGTAACGAGAGCATCTAGGAATGGTATAATGATAAACAGAATCCAAGTGCCGCTGGTATGCCAAGGAGAAAAATAACTGCCTTCCTTGAGGGTGGATCAGGGAGGAACTTCCTAGCTAAGACCGGCTGGATGGGTATCGGCGGATGGTTGTCCACATGGCCCAGTAGCAGTAGGTAGCAATGGTAGAGGGTCTTCCAGTAGAAGAGTTGGTGTTTGTATGGCCTTGGTCCCCTCCAGGGGTCTTTAAGTCCAGGTGGAATAGACTTCAGGCAAGGCTCTACAATCTCCAAGTTCTTTGTGGTCCAAATAAGTACAGCTGTAGACTCTTACTATATGTGCCATTCCCAAAGAAAAGATGGACTAGCCCATTTGGGCCAGCCACCAATCTCTCCTGCCTTCCCTGCCAGCATGGTGGACAGGGGACACTGTGAGAGCAGATGGCACTGATGACAGAAACAGCATCAGCAAAGAGGCAAAGGCCATGGGCTTCAACGGTGACTGGATGTCAGGGAAGGTGAATGACAGAATCCAACAGGGCATGGTGTCTGCACAGGACGGGAGCAGGGAAGAGGGGGTGGCTGGGTCAGTTCTGAACCTGACATGTTGTCCACAGGCCACAGAGTGTTACCTTCTGTGCTCACATGGATCTCTCTTCCCCCTACCCCCTACCCCCCAGGAATCTTCCACTTGATTCAGATCAAGAAAGTCAGGAAGCAAGACTTCCAGAAAGAAGCACAAAGCTTCCGGCTACTTACTGGCACCCAGGAAGGTGGGACGCTGGGGCTGAGCATGGGGCCTGGGAGGAAGCTGGGCCTCTGGGGACTTCCAAGACTGCTGGTGCCAGGGGGGAGGAGCTGGGGGGTGTCACTACAGACGTCAGTTCCCAGCACAGGAATCCAGTGGGCAGGGAGGGGGGGGGCGGTTGGAGTGCTGAGATTTCTCAACCTGGCAGCAGGAGAGAAAATGGGAAGCCAAGCTGCTGGCTTTGGCCTTGGGATTGGCTGGGGGGGGGGTGGGGTCGGGGGTGGAATAGGGCTGCAGATGTGGGTCTGAGCCCCAAGTTTTCATACTGCCCACTTCATTTCCACTACAGCCCTCCTAATCACTTTCCTCAATGTCCTTAGTTTGCTGTGCATTACTCAAAGACTTCAGGTAGGGGAGGGCAGGTTCCAGAGGAGAATCATTACCCACAGTGGTCAGGAAAACAGCAGCTCAGCCCTAAGACAGGTTGTCTGAAGGCTGATTCGGACACAATACCATGGGCTACTCACCCCCACCCCTCCCTGTGGGCTCCAACCTCTGGCTCACACAATCCCTTCTGCCCTGAGCTTTTTCTGCTCATAGCCACTGCTGTACACTCACCACACACACACGCGCACACACACACACACACGCACACACGCGCGCACACATGCACACACACACACACACACACACACACACACATCCTTTCCTTCTTCCTCCCTCCATGCAGGACACTGGACTGTCTTCCGAGCCCAGACTCCGGAGCTGAAGGTCACAGCCAGCCCAGACAAAGTGACCAAGACCTTGTAACAAAGACCTAAACAGTTGCAGATATGAATTTTATTGTTTTTGTTATTATATATTAATAAAGAAGTTGCATTACCCCCAACTTGGCCTGTTGCATTGACATTCATGCTCCTCTGTGCTCCTGCAGAGACTCTGCAAGGAGGCCCAGCCTCTCACATTTTACGGAAGTGGAGGCAAGTACAGAAGGGGCAACAGCAGGCTTCCAATCCAATGTTAGGTTGTCACTGGAGCCAAGAGTAGTTCCTACAGCCTCCCCATCCAGACCCTTGTCTTCTGCCCTGCCATTTCTTCTGTCCCCAAGCCTTAACCATAGCAACTTCCTGATTTTATGGGTGGTCTCCTTCCCTGAGCTTAAGGAGGATTGAGCCAGGTACCTGTGGCTCATGCCTATAATCCTAGCTACTCAGGAGGCTGAGATCTGAGGATCAAGGTTTGAAGCCAGCTGGGCAGAAAAGTTCTTGAGATTCGTATCTTCAACTAACCACTAAAAACCAGATGTAGAGCTGTGGCTCAAGCTGTAGAACACTAACTTTGCACAAAAGAAGCTCAGGGACAGAGTTCAATCCCCAGGACTAGCACAGAAAAGGAGAAGGAGAAGAAAGAATAGGATCAACTTTAGTAAGGAGATTTGCAACCAGAAGTCAGGGGGCCTTACAACCATCAGCTACGAAGACAGTGTGTGGAGGACAAGAGACACAGATCACACCCTTCTCCAGTTCCACACTGTAGACTAGCATTAGATGTCCAGGCTTCCTCATCTCCCAGGGTTTTCACGACTGTAGTCAGATGGCCAACTTGGCCCACAATCTGAGAAGAAAGTCTGACACAATTAAAGGCAAATGACAATCCATCTTTCCTCTGTGTCCAAGTCCTTGTGATGTCAAAGATGTGTGAAGGCCTCGTATTTCACCGTAGGCAGACAACATAGGACTTACCCACATTTTACAGAGGAGGATTTGGAGGCTGAAGAAGAGCAGAGATCTTTCCCAAAACCTCACAATGATGAGCAGTAAGGCAGGACCATAGCTCAGATCTTTGGTCTCTCAGCTGGGTTCTCAGGACAGCTGATCAGAGCCCTGCTGCAGCCTCACGCTCCTCACCTCTCCCAGCCCAGGCCCATCCAAAGCTCCGTAGAGCTAATAGAAGGAGCTTCTGGCTGAATTTATGCACCTGTTTAGCCAGCTCTGGTGGTTATCTCCATTGGCTTGGTTTCTGATCCAGGAAGTCCATTAAGCAGCCCATCAATGCCAACCTCACTCAGTAGGGATGGGAGATGGGTGTTACACCTTTCTCTCCAGGTCAGGAGGAGAAGGTGGTGGTGATGATTTGAGAGTTTGGGGTTTGAGGAACATGGCTGGAAACTCTCTCTTGCACCCCTGAAACAGAAAGCACTTACTTTCTCCTCACGTGTCCCTCCTAAGAAGATTTATTTTGAAGCTGGGTGCTAGTAGATTCCAGGTGTGAGGTTGTTAATCCTAGCTGCTCAGGAGGCTGCAATCTAAGAATCATTGTTGGGAGCCAGCCTGGGCAGACAAATCCATCAAATTATTATGTTCAATTAACCAGTAAAAACCTGGAAGTGGAGGCATGGCTCAAGTGCTAGAGCTCCAGCTGTAAGAAAAAAAAAAAGCCAAGCAGACATAACCGTTAGAAAGAATAATAGGGCTGGGAAGGTGGCTCAGTAGTAGAGTGCTTGCCTTGCATGCAGGAGGCCCTGGGTTTGATTCCTCAGCACCATATAAGCAGAAAAAGCCAGAAGTAGTGCTACGGGTCAAGTGGTAGAGCGCTCACCTTGAGCTGAAGAGGTGAGGGACAGCGCCCAGGCCCGAGAATCAAATGGGGCATATTTTCTCTCACATGAGGAAGCTAGATCTAAAATACACTGAGAATGATAAATTATACAGGACTCTAGACATTCACACACAGTGAGATCAAAGGAGGATACTCTTCGGAGAGGAACACAAAGGTGCAATGCCTATGCACATCTGATCATATAGAATAATATTTATCAAAATGAACTCCCCTCCCACCAAAAAAAAAAGCAGAGCTCCAGGCCTGGGGTGCAAAATGGGCCAGACAGCAAAAAGAAGACTCAGCCAGGTGCTGGTAGCTCATGCCTGTAATCTTACCTAGTCAAAACACTGAGCTCTGAGGACCTTGGTTCAAAGCCAGAGCAGGCAGAAAAGTCTGTGAGACCCTTACCTCCAGCTAACCACCAAAAAGCTGGAAGGATAGCTGTGGCTCCATTTGAGCAAAAAGGCTAAGGGACAGCATCCCAACCCTGAATTCAAGGGATCAGGACAGAGCCCTCCAGCTTCAGTGAGGGAGCAGGGGAGGAGGCCAGAGGGAAGGCAGGAGACTGGCAGCAGAGGAGTGCCATAATGAGACCTGAAAGGGCCCTCTGTGGAGACAAGGAAGTTCTGGTAACTGTGACAACTAGCAATGTCCCGGGAGCTGGAAGCAGAAGCTGGATTGGGGGAGAAGAGGAATAGGTGAGATGGTGTCCAGGAAGTAAGGAAACAGATAACTCTTTTAAGAGATTTGGCAATAAAGAAGTAGAGTGGTAGACTGCTCATGTGGGATGGAAGAAGGGCTTCTAAGGAAAGCCATTCAAGCCAGTCTTGGTGATGAGAAGTGGCAGAGTGAGGGAAAAGGAGGCTCCTGTCATAGGAGCCAGGCTGAGAGAGAACAGATTGAGGGATGAACTAAAATCCCTTCCTCCTTCTTTGTTGTGTAGTGACTACACATTGCCCTCCTCAAGGGGAGAGAGAAGTCTCCAGGGCTGCCTTCTTGTTCCTTCTGGGGTTCTCCCGAGTCCAGCAGAGAGTCCCAAGGTTCTGGTAACTACTAACTCCCCTTTCTCACTGACGGCCCTCCCCCTGCCCCATGCCTGGCTGTGACACAGTCTCATCAGTTCAGTGGAGCCACCCAGTGAGATGGGCATTAGTAGCCACACCACCAAGGTGAGGAAATCAAGGTTCAGGGAGGAACAGTGGCTAACCAAGACCACACAGTAGTGAATAAAGTTGGATTCCAACTGAGGTCCATACAGATCCCAGAGTGCTCGAGGTGCCAGGTCCTGAGCTGGGGCAGGTGTAGACCTACTCTCCCAGCCTCTGTTCCACCTTCTCTGGTAGCTCCTGGGCCCCAAACTGGACCATCCTATTAGGATGCCAGGCCTGATCCACATTTCCTGGGGTGTTTTCTCTTCCTCTTTCTCAGTAGCTATGGAGCCAATTCTTTCTATTCCCCCAAGAAATCCAAGCAGTATTTCTGAGAAACAGGAGGTAGCCTATGGTTTCAAGTTGGCCTGGGAGCCGGAGGAAGGCCTGGGGCCCCACTGCGTACAATGATGTCTTTCTCTAGGGCTGGTTCAGCAACTCCTCTTTCCTTATCCTGGTCCTTGAAAGATACCCTTGCTGCCTTCTCCTCCTCCAGTGTCCACTTGTGAAGGATCATAGGAAGTGCTGGAGGAGGGTGATTACAATTGGAAGGGGCTGGGTTGGTAAGAGTTTCTGTAGCTGGACATTCTATGCATCTGGAAGTTTTTTTCTCAGACTCTCCAGGGTTAGAACCTACATGCTGAACCTGTATACACAACTGTATCTCTAGTCCAACAACTCAAGGCTAGGGCGTGTGTGTGTTTGTGTGTGTGTGTGTGTGTGTGTGTGTGTGTATTTTCCCCAAAAAAATCTGGGATTTATTTCAATTCATAGGAGCACATGTGAAATCACTTCCCCAAACATCTCCTTTTATATAATACTGGATTTAAAAAAAGAAGACAAGAATATGGATTTAGATCCTGTTATTTGAGATACTCAAAACTAACCCATCACATGAGTAGTAGCAAAGATTTAGAAGGATCACTTGAATCTCGCATTCTCATTGGACACCAGATAATGTCTCCAGAGTCAACTATTGACTTTGGGCTATTCAAGAGTGATGATTTTTCTCAATCTCGTGCCCAGTGCAGTGTCTTACACACATCATGCTAGTTCGAGGTTTAATGCCTGCATAAAATCAGATTTCTCTCTCCAATACCATCTTCATCGCCCTCTGGAACAATCAGATTTCACCAAATTGTGTAAAAGCAAACAGCAACTGAAAGTTGGGACTGGGATTAGAACTCTCAAGGTTAGACTGAATTCAACCTCCCCCGTCCCATGATGTCTAGATTAAGGATGAGAGGTCAGCCTGCTCACAGCTGTCCTACCATGGAGGCTGTGGGAAGTAGCTTCCTTCTTTCCAGTAAATCCTGCATAGCAATCAAGAATGACCTTCCAAAACCATAATCTGAATCATGTGGCTCATGCCTGTAATCCTATCTAATCAGGAGGCTGAGATGTGGGGATCATAATTCAAAGCCAGCCTAGACAGGAAAGTCCCTGAGATTCTTATCTTCGATTAACCACTCAAGAGCCAAAAGTGAAGCTCTAGCTCAAGTGGTAGAGTGTCAGCATTGAGTGTAAAAGCTCAGGGACAGCATCTAGGCTCTGAGCTTAAGCTCCATTACCAACACACACACACACACACACACACACACACACACACCAAAACAAAAAACAGCCTAACAAAAACAAAAATAAAAATACCTCCCATAATCTAACCCCCCCCATCTCTCTTATATATTAAGGCCCCATTTTCATATGTTCTCACTATCCTCAGGATAACACCAAAGCTCCTTTTTTTTTGGTCAGTTGTAGGACTTCAAGTCTGGGTTCCTTCTTGTGGCTCCTGCTGGCTCATCCGCCTAATCCCTCCTCTTTGCCTCCTAGCAGCAGTATAAGCTCCACTCAGAGTCCCAGTGCCCTCCCCGATCAAGTTGGGATGGATCCCAGATCCTGGAAGACCGGAATCATGGACTCTGACAATGGCAGGATATACTCTTCATTCTCAATCTTTTTGACCCTAAATATCAACACACCAAGCCCTGCTTAGCATCTGATAGCTCACAACCACATGGGGAAAAAAGTTTTCATTTCCCAGTAGAAACGCTCCTGGTGGAGCATACAATG